TTCTTTAACTGCAGAAAGCCACTCTGGTGGTCAGGTGAATTCCTACGCAGTGATCTTTGGCACAGGTGTTCACATTCTAACTTCTTATGTTGGTTAGACCCAAGCAGAAACATAAAGTTGATTTCTCTAGAGAAGATGCTAAGCTGACCCACAGGTATAGTGTTATTCCCACCAGAATATAAAATCCATGATGACAGACTCTTTGTTTACTTATGACTTTATCTCCAGTACTCGGCATATATAGGCACTCAATGACTACAAATTCATTCATTCATTCATTCATTCATCCATTCAACAAATGCTTACTGAGCATGTACTAAAGACGGTACTGTGCCAGGTGATACCTGGGGTCACAGGAATAAAAGCAAGTATATCTGGGAGGATATTTCAGCCACAGGTAACAGAACTGTCTTAAACAATTAGGCATTTATTAGTGCACATTAAGTGGAAGTCCAAATTTAGATCAACTCAGGTTTGCTTGATCCACCATGAAGGATCCAGGTTTTTTCACAGCTTCCTCCTAAGACTTGCTCCCACTGGGAGAGGGGGAGACGGGAGGGAGAGAGAAATATCATAGGTGGCTGCCAGTAACAGCTAGAGTACCAGCAAGAGAAAGAATCAATCTTCCTACAAGAGGAAGACCCCTCCTAGAAGTCTCCAGCACTCCTCTGGCTTCCCAAAGGCCCACATACCCATTCCTGAATCATGGATGTAATCATGGATGTAAGACCACTCTGAGGGTGGGTGGGCTTTCCCTGAAATAAGGGAACTGCACTGAAGAAGGGTGGCCCTCTGGACACATAGAGGTTCTGTCAGAAAGGAAAGGAGGAGGAGCCAGAGGCCTAGGGGTGGGGCTAGGGGCCGGCATTACCACTTGCTACAAGCCGTCATTAGCATCTATAATGAAAGTCTATAGTTGTTTAAAGGGCCTGCTCAAATATTTCTCATGTAACCCTTATAATGACTGCGAAGTGGTAGTTCTCATCCCAGGGTAAGTCAGAATCACCCAAGTGGTGGTTCTGGTTCAGAAGGTCTGTTGTGGGGCCTGGACAGGCGTGATTCTGACAGCCAGCCTGCATGGCACAGCGTGTGGTAAGCTAAGCACCGCCACCCCACAGGTGGGCAAGTAAGAATTCAGCACAGTCCCTACCCTATGAAGCTGACACTAAAGGTCAAGTAAGAGATTTGACATATGTGCCAGAGAGTTCAGGGGAAGAAAAGCTTCCTCTAAGCCAGCAAGGTTCCTGGGCAAGAGTGGGGCCTCCAAAGATGAGTAAGGCTCCAGTAGAGAACCCGGGGGGAGAAACGTAGCCAGAAGGGCACAGCGTGAGCCAGGTGGAATCAGATGGAACACTTGTCAAATTCATACGTCATGTTTGTCAGAGGACAAGCTGATCTCTGGTTTGTTGCCATGTGAGTACATGCAAAAGGGAAGTTTTCTCATCTTGAACTACTGATGGAGAAATTGAGGTTTGTTTCCAGGATTTGATGCATCAGTGCTATCTGATATTCCTGATACTTTGCTGGAACTATTCACCAAGCTTCCTCTTTGAGCACAAAGGGGATTTTAAGAGACAACAATTGGGGTTTTTATATATTTATGTTTTAAAAATTAGAATCATTGGGTGGAAAATCCCTATGAGATCACCTCTCTGCTCTACCCAACCTGTGCAGGGAGTGGGGGGGGATACATAGTGATTAGAGGAGGAGGCATTTAATTCCTTCTCAAAGCAAAGTAAGATAAACCTGATCAAATCCAGCCAGGCTGCAAAAGCGATTAAGAGGAATGTTAGAAACAACCTGGAGAATATGGAGGAAGTTTGTAAATTGGCTGGCAATTGGATTACATTTAAAGATTCAATTAGCAACAGATTCAGAATAGTTTCCTTTAGTGAGTTTAACTCCCAGGCAAGAGGCCTGGCAGTTTGCTGATAGCACAGAAAGTGAGTCATGCAGCAGTGGCTTAGCCAGGCTGGCACAAATGTCACCCACTCACTTTGATGGATGCACCCCCTGCAATGGAAATATGTGGACCGATATTGATTTTTGAAAACTCCACCATTACTCATTGTTCTTGACAACTTGTTTTCCCTTCTTTGGTATACCTTCATTGTTGGTACTTCTTGCTGCCTCTAAATTGCTCTTTAGTGAACTCCAAAGGGGTCTCTCTCATGCTAAAGGGGTTTTTCAGAGGTAGAAAGACAGTTGGCAACAGAATTGCCATGTGTGGACACTGGTAGAATACTGCCTCGCCCAGGTTTCAAGAGTACTCCCTTCATTCTCTATTAAGTGGGTTCAGGGTGAGAACTCTGGGCAGGTCAAGAGTTATCACAGAAAGTATCAATGTGGTAATTAGGTTCAGCAATGAGAAACAAAAAGTGCATACTTTTAAAGTAGAAGACATACTATAAACTTTATAAGAGACTGGTTATTGTCTGGGAGCTCCTAGAAAGGAAACACCAGGCCACAGGGAAGAGGACTGGCATAAGCCAGTAAGGGCAGAGGTAAGAGCTGGCTCGCCTGGTTCCCAGCCCTGTACCCAACCAGCTGTGGAAGACAGAAGATGGGGCAGAAGCAAGAGCAGGCACGTGCAAGCGGGCAGCTGATGTGGGGGTGATGCCGTAGCAGAGGCCTCTCTACAAAGTTAAAGATGACTCACACCCGCTCAGCCAGGAGAGCCAAACGTCTCTGTGGTTCCATCTTTCCTGGTTGGAGCCAGTCTCTAAGTTCTGAGAGCATGATTTCCCTAGTGCCACCTGCGTAGTCTTCTCTTCATGGTGGATCTGAAATCAATAATGCTGACAAGCTGAAAATACTTAGAAACAAAAGATAATATTTTGAAAATATTTGGGCCTTGTTTTGGCAAGTGAGCGGCTTAAACCCAATTTAGGTAGACTCATATCATAAGGGGGCTTACTAAATCTAGGTTAGAAGCAAAGACCCCAGGGCTATGAATGATAGGCATGAGTACTGTTCTATAAAAAGTGGTACTAGAAGCAAAGAAAGATAGTCTTCTCACCCACAGCTGGGAAGAGTACAAAGAAAATTTCACTGAAAAAGATCCCTCTCTCAGTTTAAGCCAGCTGGTCTACCATCTGCTTATGATCATACAAGGAGGAGATCGCCTAAGGAGGTGAATCATTTTGCCCAAGTAATCCTCTCGGTGGGAAAATAAGCCCAGTATGCCTTGCTGCCCTCAAATCTCCTCACCTAAGCATGTACAGAGCTCCCCTCCTTGGGCCTCTGCCGCAGGTTCTTTTCTGCTTTTCTTATCTGGATACTTTTATCTTGGGAAAGTTTATCATGGCAAAGAAGATGTTAGTGGCTATGAAATGGATAGGATCCATGTAATCAATTCAAACTGTTTCACTCGGGCATTTACTCATTCAACAAACATCAAACACCTATTATATGCCAAGTTCTGGAGACCTATAGATAAATAAGACCCGATCCTAAAGGAAAATCAATAATGAGACAATAGTGGAACACAATATATATATATATATATATATATATATATATATCACTGATGTTCTGCTTATCTTAGTGCTTTTCTTTTGCATTGCTCTCAGGTCTCTATTTTATGATGAGAAGAAGACGTGTTAACATGCTTGACAGGCGGGTGAGCCCGCACACTGGACCCAAGATCTCTAGTCCTAGTGTGCATTCTGCTTCTGGGTTCTGATGACATCTCCAGCCTTAGTCATTCCAAATCACTTGCAGGTCCCTGACTGAGCCATAGTATCACACTTGCGTGGCCTTTCCAATGTTGAGCTTTTTGTGTGTGTGAGTGGTTCTTCTTCTCTCATTTCCCTGGCTAATCTGTGCTCACCCTTCAGTCCTCAGTTCAAGGGTCGTCTTTTCTTGGAAAGCTTTCCTGACTCCTTTCTTCAGGTGAAATTGAATGTCCCCATGCTCCTTCTTTTTGATGACAACCAAAAGAAAAAAAAAAGCCCATAACCATTTTATCTAGGCTCACAAACTGTTAGAAGCAGCCATTATATTCACATCATCCTGTTTGTCTTGTGAGGATACAGGGAAATATGCTATCCTCGTTTTTTGTTTTTTTTGTTTTCAGATGGAACGAAAAAAAGTAAAGGGACTTAATCCTGGGCACTTTACAAGTCATAGCAAAAGACAGTAAATAAACATGGGCTCCGTGTTCAATAATTTTCATGAACTACAAGATGAATGGCCATATAGATCTATAAATTGTAGTCACTTTCTTGACTCAGTTACATGAGTTTTATTCTTCCACTGACTGTCAGGTTAATTGGTTCTACTTAACTCTGCCTGTGGAGAAAGCATCAAATTAGGCAGCTAATCAGTAACACTGTAAAAAAAAAAAAAGCCAAACACATTGATGAAATTGTTCATAATCAAGCTATTACGGTCTTGTTTTTCCTATCTGTATCCTTACCAGCAAACACGAATATAAACATCACTTTCAACTGCCTCCAAAGAGACATACCATTAATTAGGATTAACCAAAAGTTCTCTCCACCAAGAAAATGCTTCAAAACATTAACTCCTTATATCTTACTACAGTAATAACCTGATAAAGAAACTGCTATCACGTGCCCAAGTGTCAGAGAAATATAACACTAACTTCGAGAAATCTTTATTCTCCCAAAGTCAATTATAAAGTTCACTGCTATCAAAAGTTTGCTTTGTCCATGTTCTCAGTTCCACTCGTGCCAGGCACACCTTGTCAAATGTTAAAGATGCAAAGAAGAACAAGAAGTAATCACTGCCCCTTGGACATGATGCCTAGAGGAGCTCCGGTTCTCAGCACCAATAGTCCAGGGGGAATCTTACTAGAGGCAAAAATCCCAAGGGAGAAAAAGAGAGAAGAAAGGACGTCTGCCTGCGAAAGCCAGTGAGCAGTCACCAATGCTCTATCGGGACTGGGTCTGTAAAGATAGTCCCCCAGGCAGGAAAGTGGGGAAAGGCCTGAGAGGCAGAGCAGAGAGGCATGAAAGAACAAGGCAGGCTTGTACCTGGAGTGTGTGGTCAGCACTCAGGCTGAGAAGCAGGCTGAGGCCCTGTCGCCGATGGCCTTATATAGCGGGCTAACAAGTTGAGATTTTAAGGCAGGTGTGGGCATGCTTTGATTAGTGTTTCCAGAAGATCCATCTGGCAGCCCCACGTGGAAGATGTATCTCAGGGAAGGACTCCCATTCAAGCTAGGTGACAAATGACGACAGCAGCACTGGGATGGAGAAAAGGGAATACATCCAAGAGACGTTTAGCTGGTAGAGTTAGTCAAATGACTACTGCATAAGCGGGGGAAAGTGATTCCTTTAGCTGAAAATGGGGAAAAAAAAAAAAAAAGGAAGAGCATCAGTGTCACAGAATACAAAAGAAGATAAAGTTGGGCAAAAATATAAATTTAAAAACTTCCTTATAAATAGTCAGTTATGCATTTTCAACCTGCAAAGAGGCTATTTTCAGAAAATATTCTTTAAAAAAAATAAAATAAAATTCACCCTAATGGCTTTTGAAGTGTTGGAATAAATAATCACCAATTGTGCCAAATTTTTTGGAGCACTCTTCAAGCAGGATATGCTTAGTCTCTGTAACTGAGATGCTTATGCCTCGGCAAGCTCTCCTACAGCATAAAATATATATATCAGAAATTGATTTGAAACAAACATGAGATCATCTACAGGAAGTGCCGAGGCATCTTTCCATTAGCTTTTAATGCAGGGCAAACCAGATGAGAAGGTGACATTGCTTCACGGTTTTAAATATGGGTAGCTTGTGCAAGAGAGGCAGCATTCTAAGTGCAAAAACTATAGGGTGATATGGGGAAAGTACACCTTCTTTCCTGCTGGGGATGCTCTGGTACGCTGTTCAGATTCCCTCTTTAGAACTGAGGTTCTCATTTTCCCAGAGCTCAGAGTGTTGGTGGCTGACAGTTTTCTGCTAAATTGTTCTTAGCCCCCTTTATAAGGGCAGCTCACATCTACTGGCTGATCATTTGGGGTTGGGGATAAAGCCCTGGCCCCCTTGACTTAAGTGGGGGCCGGGGGGGGGAATCTTTGAAGGGCCATCCCAGCTCCACAGCTCCTATGGATTGGCTGAGGCCTCGGTTGCAATTGCATCGCAGCTCCTTTTCCCTCTGTGCAATCCTGCTCTGTCACCACTCACAGGTGATCTTCCTAAGGCCACTCCCGAACAAACCTCTTGCACAGAAATCTCAGAGTCCTTTTCCCGGGAACTCCAACCTATGACACCTATCCGGACCACAAACAGCCTTCATGAGCACTAATTCTAGAGAATGAGGGTGTCATTATAAAAATACATATTAAATGTCCTGGGGCTTGAACATAATGAGCCACACTTCCTACTTATATTCTAAAAGTGACATCACAGAGATGTTGTAAATAGCACATAAGTGATCTAAAGGACTTTGGATATCAAGTTATTTTATTGAAAGAATCACAGCAAGGACACATACAAACATGTATATTAAAACGAAGAACAGAAATCGAGCACAGATGACTAGCGCCTCATCACTCAGACACCATAGGTATAGTTTTTTTGGCTACTTATTTTTCCCTTTCTCCTTCCCCACAAAGCTACTTGGCAATGTACCTTCAATCAGCATGGAAAACAAACAATAACAAAAATAGGACATCAAAAGATGCCTGTGGCCCCACTGCCACCTAATGGGTTCTTTGAGCATTAAGGTCTCCATTTTGTAGTTCCTTTTTTTTTTTTCAACTGCTGACACTGTATCGATAAAATGGCTAAATGTGACTATATCCAACTATGGGCCACTAGTCTTAATGGGGAAAAACTCTGGATCATTCTGGCTTCTGGAAAAAGTCATGTTAATTGTTTCCTTTTTCCTCTTTACATTTGGGAACGTCCATCCCCTACCACCTGTTGTTTGATATACTCGTAAGTATCCTTTAAAAAAAAGATTGTTATATTAACTGCCATGCAATAAAAGTGATGTGGAATGTTCCAGGCTTTTTAGCTTTTCTGAGATATGTAAATAAGCTGGCAATGTGAACACGTGAGGGTGGGAAACACCCAGATAAGGAGGGTACTTTCATGGGCTGTGATGCAGATGAATCCAATTAACTCCCGGTTTAAAAGACCATCTTAAGGTTATCACAGGAGGCTGTTACATGAGAAAGCCAAACAGGGCCAAAAAAAATGAAAAAAGCTCCTGTCACCACATCAGAGGGGAAGGCACACTGGAGTCTCTCCTGTATGTGGGGAAGTCAAAGCAATTCTTTCTCATGCTTTCCTTCCTGGCCTTCAAAAGAGCTGCTGTGACTGCTTTGACCTCCACTGCCCACATCTTCCTGCTAAGCCTTGACCCATCTGGCTTTCTACAGCCTTTTGTTTCTGACAACCACAAATGCTTTGTAATCTTCCATATTACTTGAGTTGTTAAGCTACTGTAAGCTCCTAGAGTTCCCCTCACCTATCTGCTGCTTTCCCCACCATTCCACACACACACACACACACACACACACACACACACACACACACGGTACCAACAAAATGTATATGCATTTTAAGAAAGGAAAAAACTGTATTAAAATTGTAATACTCAATATATACCGATAACAAGATGCATACAAGTCCCGTTTGACTTCTGCAATTACAAGAGGTGCTCAAAGTGGTTACCATCAGCGTAATTTTAAGTTTTTTCCTTTCTTAAAATGTGTATACATTTTTTTGACACCCTCTCTCTCTATATATATGTATATATGTATACGTACATATATATGTACGTATACATATTCATACACATGCATGAATTTTGTACTATTTTACAATTCTTTTTTTTTAAGATTTTTTATTGGGGAATTGGGGGGATGGGAACAGTGCTGGGGAATTGGGGGAAGAGGAACAGACAAGTCGCTGTCGT